TCTCTCTCTCTCTCACCTGCAGAGCTCGACAGATGTTGTTCATTTGGAGCGCAAATCTCACGTCCTCGCCCACCATGACAACCTCTATTACGGCAACGCAGCGTGGCAGGCCGGGATGGAAGACGGGCGCGGCCAAGGAGCCCCGAACATCGCACTCCGCGGCGTGATTGGCCCTCAAGTACTCCATCGGAGAGTAGAACTGCACATTGGGCGACCATTCCGGCTTGCCCGACTTGAACACTCTTCCAGGCAAGCCAGAGTATTGGGAGATCTCCTCCCCCGAGAAGATGTACTCCTCCGACACTCCTCTATATCTAGCTAGCTGTTGACTGCACTGCTCCACCGCGAAAGGGGCCTCCTTCGTGGTCAAAACCAAGCGCCCGTGATCACTCCTTGGCACCCAGATCTGCACTAGCACATCCGGCCTCGTCTGGTTGATGCAATGAAGGGCTTTCATCATCCTCTGGGTCAGCTTCGTGGAGATCGCAATCACCGCATCCGGCGATCTCCAGCTAACCCCCCCTCCTACGCCCCCCTCTGTTACCCTCCCCCACCCGCCTTCTCCCTCGTCCCAATCATTGCCCCCTACCAGGTAGTAATGACCCTCCCCGTTCGGGGATCTCGCGCTGTCGCACTCCCCTCCCGCTTCCTCATCTTGAATCCCGCCTTCTCCCCGCAGAATAGCGCTATCCGTGCGCTCTCCTCCGCCTCGTTCCCCCTGCATCCTCTGCTGCTGTTCGTTCCGCGTGCCGCACTGACTAACTCGATCATGCTCATGATGATGATGATGATGACGAGGACGATGAACGCTCCCTGAATCGTCAGCATGAAGACACATTCCTCCTCCTCCTTCTCCTTCTCCTTCCCGATCCCTGTCCTCTTCCTCTCGCGGCCGCTTCCGAAACCCAACTGTTGCGCCGCCTTCGCGGGCTACCAGTCTGCCTGTGGTTCTCACTGTTCTCCCCGCCTCGCCCATGCCCTCCACCGCCCCCCCTTGATCCCCGTCCTGCCTCCGCGCGCCCGGATCCAATGCTCCCCCCCCACCTGCTTCACAACTCAGAACCCCGCCGCCGCTTCCCGCTCCTCCCTGCCCCCACAGCCGCCGCATAGTCTCGTAACTCTGCTCCCCCGATCTGGCGTAGAGCGTCGGGATGCCGGCGCATTGCGCCGACGGCCGACACGTGGACGCACTACCCGGCGCGGCGGGAGACAGCGGCGAAACGAACATCGATCGCGCCATCTTCGCAGCACTGCCGGCAAGCAGCTGCTGCTGCAACTGCGTGCTCCACAATATCCGCCCATTCGCGCAGAATCCCCCCGGGGCTCCGCAAACCGCAGGAAAAGAGGCCGTCGCCATCATCATGGACTCCGCTTGCCCCACAGTCGGAGCCGCGGGGAAGCTCGGCGCAAACGCAAAATTGCCCGGCATGGACGTCGAGCAATGCACAGGAGAGAACGTAGTGTCGCAGTTCGGGTAACCACCACCACCTTTGCTGGTGAAGTTATTGTTGGCAGCCGACGGAGCGGAGGCGGAGGCGGAGGCAGAGGTGAAGGCCGAGGGGGAGGCGGAGGTAGAGGCGGAGGCGGAGGCGGAGGCGGAAGCGGAGCAAATCCCGTGCTGAATCTGTTGAGGGCTGTTGACAGCAGGCGAGGCTTCTGCCTGAGACCCCCCCGTGGCGGCGCCATTGCCGCGGTGGTAGGACCCTTCTCCCCCATGCTGGAGCCAAGATTCAGAAGACAGCTCATCCTCGATCGGATCTAGCTCCATCAGTTCCGAGATTTGCAGAGGATAAAGGAGGCTATGGCCAAATGCATCCCCGCCGTGCACGGAGGAATTCCAGAGAGAAACTCCGCCGGTTGGTGCTGCAGCCATACGTCCTGCTACCCCAGAATCTTGGCACACACCTGCGCCGTCAGCAGGCTCCCTACATTCACCGGCGGCAGATATGTCGCATATGTTGACCTCGCCGACCCCACCTCCAGCACCGGCAGCTACCCCGCCCGCATTAGGCCCGCTCGATCCGCTGGCGAGCACCGCGCCGCCCCCGCCGCCGCTTCCCCCTGCCGCCGTGATCGCGTTAGCCATGAGAAGCGCCGCATTGCCTCCTCGCAGACTGCCGCCAAAAAGCATTCCCCCGGCGTCCACGAGGCCACCAGGGCCCAGCAGCCCGCCGCCGCACACGCTACCCTCGCCTACCAGAAACCTGCGGAAATCCAAACTCGTCTGACTATGCTGGGAGTCTCCACATCTGTGACTTCCGTAATCCGGCGCACAGGCCGCTACATCTTGCCCTTCGAACACGAACAGCGGCGCAGAACTCCATGGAGAGGATGGAAGTACATGGCTTGTTCCCAGTGTCTGTCCTTGCGCGGAGTACAGCTTGATCGGCCCCGGCCCTGTCGTCGCCATCGCCGCCTCATGCATCGCCATCTCTCTCTCTCTCTCTCTCTCTCTCTCTCTCTCTCTCTCTCTCTCTCTCTCTCTCTCTCTCTCT